TGATGCAGCTTAATCCAATAGCACAGCGACTCCCACGGTAAAATCGGAGAGATTCAAAACCTCGTGGCTCCAGAGGTCCGGGACGTACAGTACGTCTCCGGCCTCCTGGTCCGCCTCCCTTGATCCAGGTGTATCCCACTCGTCCTCTGAGCGCCTGTCCGCTGGATGTAGCAGCGACACGCCAGACTCGGCGGGGGGCACCATGCGCCAGTGCTTGCGACCCGTCAGCAGCACGTTGATCGCGTGCATGTGTCGGGCCGGGCAAAAGCGAGGGATAGCAAAAGGGGGGGGTGAGAATCAGCTCACGTAGCTGATTTTCCCGGCACCTCCTGGCGCCGGGGGGCGCCCACGTATCGAGGAATGGGCCCGGCGGCGGGGCCGAAACCAGCTGCATGCAGCAGATTTCATACCCCCCCTTTCCCTATCCCCCCCTCTCGTCTGGCCCGAATATGGAAGTGCATCGGGATGCCACTGCCGGCGTCCCCCACGCACAGCTGCGCCTGCCCAGCGGCCCGGAAGCTGCCGTGAAAGGGGGGCGGCAGCTCCCGAGGCAGCCCGGTGCCTTCGTGGAGCAGCGCCGCCACCGCGGGGTGCTCCGTGCCGCTCACGGGGAACATGAGGTAGTACGGCGCCAGGGACGCCTGGCCGGCGGGCCTCCTCGACACCCCCGACAAGAAGTCCTCCAGCGTGGTGCTCATGGTGTCCCCCTCGCCGAAATCCTCGCCGTACGGGATCGCCGAGACGCGCACCCCCATCGATGGAAGGAGCCAGAACGGCACAAGCACAAACTCTTTCGGCGCTGCGCGCGGATCTCTCGGACCTGCGCTGGACCTCCCTCCACTGGCGCGCCAGGAGCGCGCCGGGAGCGGCGGCGGAGGCCCCGCCCGGGGGGGCCCAGGCGCCGACCCCGGAAGCCTGCGCGGAGATCCGGAGCTGTGTGCTCATGCCCTCCTTTCCTCTTCGCCTCGGCCCGGCTCGCCTGACGAACTCTTCCCGCGTCCAGCGCGTGCCAGGCAGCCTGGCCGCCGCGCGCCTCACCAGCACCGGCCTGCCCGGCGCGACGAAATCGCGGGCGAGGTCGTGGGCCGCCAGCTGGTCCCAGCACACGCTGGGCACCGCCCTCTCCCGCGGCGGCGGCGCGGGCGCGGGCTGCGGGGCGAGGCGGGGATAAATGAAGGGGCCCAGGGACACACAAGTAAATGCACATAAATTCCAGGATTCCTCATATTTTCACATATGTTCTAGGTTTTGTCTTCTCCGACTTTCCATGTTTTCCTATATTTTCCAGGGGGTCTACGATGGATTGTGTCTGTGTATTTCTTCCTCTCCTGAATAAACCCATGTCAGAGGCCTCCTCGGTGGGGTCGGGGTGAGCGGGCTCGGAGGATCGCGCCGCATCGCCGATGCATCGGCGATGTATCGCCGATGCACTGGAGATACATCGTCGACGTCGAGGGTGCGTCGGCGGCGTAGGTGTTGAGAAGATCGGGATACCGGGCTCCACATCGACCTGGATCGCCGATGCATCGGCGATTCGGCGCGATCACCCATATCCACCGCCTGGGGAACAGACGTCCTGGGACCCCAGCGGGCGTCCTGGGACACCAGCGGGCGGTTGATATGGACTGGGCCCAGGGGGGCCCGAGTACGTCCATGTTCACCGCGTGCCGAGGTCCCCGAAGATCGATCCCCCAGGCGGTGGTCATGGAGAAGTCCCCGCCTCGGATGCGGGGCGGCACGCGCGGATCCCCCGCCCGCGCACGTGCGGCGCGACTTCCTGGAAACGGCCCTCCCGTCGGCGGCGCAGCCGTCGGAGCTGGCACCGCCGGGGTCAGGGCCTGGGTCAGCTTCCCCTGGCGGGACAACACCACTGGCCAACCGCAGACCGTGGAGCGTGGCCACGCCGGCAGCGGTGCAGCCCGCATGGTCGGCGACAGCGGGGTCGGCCCTCGCCACGAGCAACAGCTGCACCACTGCCAGCTCGTGCGCCGCCGCTGCATGGTGCAATGCCGTAGCCCTGGCAGCATCCGCAGCCGTTGCGTCGGCCGCCGACCTCAGCAGCAGGCGCGTGACCGCCGACCAGCCAGCCATCGCGCAGCTGATCAGCGGCGTCGTGCTGCCAAAGTGGCACCGACCACTGGGATCCGCCCTCGCTTCGAGGAGAGCCTCGACGATGTCGACGAGAGCGGGTTCGTAGACCTGCTTGGTCACGGCGTTCTTCCACGTCCTCACTGCGTTTCGCTGTCCAAGGTCAGGACACCCCAGGAGGCCTGGGTGCAACGCACAGAGATTCTCGACACCAGGGGAACGAGAACATACCCGACACTGCCACTCCCTGGACCTCTCCCAGAACGCGTTATGCAAGGGTTCCCAACTTCGCGCTTCGCGCTGGGCGAAGCGCGAAGTGCGACTGACTTCGCGCTCTCGCGCCGCCTCCCAGGGAAGACGAGGAGGATGAGGAGGAACCGGAACCGAACCGAGAAGCGCGAACAACTTCGCGCCCTCGAGGGCGCCCTTGCTGGACCTCCCCCGGGACCCCGGGACGCGTCATGACCAGGATTGCGAGGCGACTCCAGCCGTGGCGACGAGGGCGCCCAAAAGGAGGCCCAGGACGGCGAGAGAGAGAGAGGGCAGGGCATCGGCCTCGGACGCGTCGTCCCTCCCCTCGGGATGCCAGCGGCGTCCAGGTGGAGCAGCTGCTTCGCGAACAGGTTGGTCCAAGGCTCGTTGAGGAGCCTCAGCAGCAGCTTCGTGGCCACGGCTCTGCTTGACACAAAAGGAGGCTCCGCTAGAAGGGGGTTGCAGTAGATCTGGTGCAATAGACCTGTGGGGTCGCAGTAGACCTGACTGAGGCGCGCAGTGCAATCCCAGGGCGTAAATGGATGGCTGGATCCTGCGCGAAGCGCCTCTCTGTTGCAACGCAGTGCGATACGGCGCAACACCACACAGCTCTCTGGCGCAGTGCAAGTGCAACACAGTCGCCCCACCTCTAGTGCCCCCCATTGTCGGCGACACAACCCGAAGGGAGGTGCCCAAGGTGCCTGCATGAATTCACATGCAGTCGGACCTCGCAACATGAACGGCGGCACGGACCCGCCCCAGGCGTCACATCTGCGCCGCCGTTGCGAGGTGCCTCGAGATGCAACCCCGAAACACGGCCCCCTTCCCCCTTGCAGCTGGACCCCCCCCTTGGGTCCACCAGAACGGTCTCCCGCGCCGCCGGCTCCGCGGCGGAGAGCCCGCGGAGGGCCCGCGCCACGTCCAGGGAGGGGCCCCGCCCGCGGGCGTGTTCCCCGGCCGCGGCGAGGGCCGCCCAGGCCCTCGCGAGCCGCGCCTCCGCGGCCATCGGGCGCCACGCGCAGGACGGCGCCAGCTGCACCCCCTGCACCGGGCCTGGCCGGGCACGTCCTGGGCCCCTGGGATCGGTGTGTACGCCCGCCTGGCTTTGGCAGGAAGGTGCACGCGTACATCTGTGTACATGCATACACCTATATAAAGATTTGGATGTATGTGTGTTTGTATGTATGTATGCATGTATGAATGAATGTATGTGTGTATGTATGTATATGTGTATGCATGTGTGTATGTATGTATGTGTATATGCGTGTGTATGTATGTATGTGAATGAATGAATATGTATGTATGTATGTATGTATGCATGTATGCATGTATGTATGTATGTGTATGTATGTGTATGTATGTATGTATGTATGTATGTATGTATGTGTGTATGTGTGTATGTATGTATGTGTATATGCATGCGTGCATGTGAATGTATGTGTGTATGTATATGTATGTGTGTATGTGTATATTGCATGTGAGTATGTGTGTTTGTATGTATGTATGCATGTGTGTATGTATGCATGTATGTATGTACATATGTATACGTGCATAGATGTATGTATGTATGTATGTATGTATGTATGTATGAATCGATGTATGTATGTATGTATGTATGTATGTATGTGTGCGTGTATGTGTGTATGTGTGTATGTATGTGTGTATACATGTAGGTCTGTGTATGTATGTACGTATGTATGTATGTATGTGTGTATGTGTGAATGCATGTGTGTATGTATGTATGTATGTATGTATGTATGTATGTATGTATGTATGTTTGTGTGTATATATGTGTGTATGCACGTATGTGTATGTATGTATGCATGTATGTATGTATGTATGTATGTATGTATGTGTATGTATGTGTATGTATGTATGTATGTATGTATGTGTGTATGTGTGTATGTATGTATGTGTATATGCATGCGTGTATGTGAATGTATGTGTGTATGTATATGTATGTGTGTATGTGTATATTGTATGTGAGTATGTGTGTTTGTATGTATGTATGCATGTGTGTATGTATGCATGTATGTATGTACATATGTATACGTGCATAGATGTATGTATGTATGTATGTATGTATGTATGTATGAATCGATGTATGTATGTATGTATGTATGTATGTGTGCGTGTATGTGTGTATGTGTGTATGTATGTGAGTATACATGTAGGTATGTGTATGTATGTACGTATGTATGTATGTATGTGTGTATGTGTGTATGCATGTGTGTATGTATGTATGTATGTATGTATGTATGTATGTATGTATGTATGTTTGTGTATATATGTGTGTATGCACGTATGTGTATGTATGTATGCATGTATGTATGTATGTATGTGTATATGTATGTGTGTATGTATGGTTGTGTGTATGTGTGTATGTCTGTATGTATGTATGCATGCATGTATGTATGTATGTATGTATGTATGTATGTATGTACGTGTGGATGCATGATTGTATGTATGTATGTATGCATGTGTGTATGTATGTATGTATGTATGTAGGTAGGTAGACAGGCAGACAGGTAGGTTAATAGGTACGTAGGTAGGTAAGTACGTGCTAGACCCTCACAAGAAAATACATACACAAACACACACAGTTCACACACACAAACATATACACAAACAAACACACACACACACGCACACACACACACACACGCGCGCACACAGGCACGCACGCATGCACGCACGCACACACACACACACAAGCGCTATCTCTTTTTCTCTTTCTCTCTCTCTCACGAACACACACAAACAAAACAACGCAACACACACACACACACTTTCCGTCGGCGGCTATAGACAGAGGGGATGCTCTGGCGATCTAACACAAACACACACACACAAACACAAGCACACACGCGCACAAACCGATGCTAGGCCCATGATCGGCCTGGACAGGATCAGAGCAGGTGTATAGTTGGTGCCCCCCGAATCCGAATGCGGCCGCTCCCACCGTAGCACGCGAACTGTTGGCCCGCAGCGCCGTGGGGCAAAAATGGCAATGGCGGCCCGGTTCGCGTGGTGAGATCTCTTCGCTGGTGTGTGACGCCGCGTGGATCGTTCAACCCTGAACGATCACGGCGTCCCGACAGCGCAGATCGTTCGATATCGGCCCACTCCGAGCCACCGGCGGCGCTCACCTGTGAACGCCCGCGCTGGGCGTCTCCGCCGAATCGACGCGGCACGAACCTGCCGTGACACGCGAGCTCGACCAGCGGCACCTTGAGCAAAAAATGGCCACGGATCGGCCGCTCTGGTCTCCCCCGCCAGGGGAGGGGAAGGCCTGGCAACGTCGCGATTATATCCCCCCGGGCCGCCGCGTGGTCCTTGCTGGCCCACCACATGAGCAGCCTTCCGCACTGGGCCAACGAGATCGCGAAGGCGCCGAACGCCAGCGAGCCTGCCGCGTGATCGCACGTGGCGGCACAACACTGAGAACACCCTGCACATCGCGCTCAGGGGTGCCTCCCCAAATATCATAAGCATGTGTTACGTGGCATGCAGTGGGTCGAGAGACATGGGCCTCGCAGAAGTCACCTGGCGCTCTTAGGGCTGCTGGCGAGAGAACCACAGATCACCGCGACCTCCAGAAATGCGCGCGAGGGGGCACGGCACCCGGCGTGAATGAAGTACAGGCGGCTGGATTCCCTCGCCTCCTCCCGCAGGCGTCCGAGAGCCTCCGAGGGCCTCAGTCTTGGCCAATCGGTGAAACTGTTGTCAATGTTTAGGCACCGGGTCATAAATGATAAGCGAGTCCCAGGCGGAACGCCCGGCCCGCCCTTTCGACTGGCCTCGGGGTGCGACAGGGAAGAGTTAACTACAAGGACAACGGATGGAGGAGGAAGAAGAAGAAGAGGAAGACAAGGAGCGGCCCTGCCCCCAGGGAGCCTGGGTGGCACACCAGCCCGCGGCAGAAGCTTCGGACGGTCAGGCGGCAGTCGCAGAAGGCATGGCCGCCCCCGGCGGGCAGCTTGCGACCTGTGCGGCGGCGCGCCGAGGGAGGGCAGTGAGACGGGGGCGGGCCTTCTCGGAAGGCGGCGGGGCTTCTCAGAAGCCCTCTGGCCCTCCGAGGAACCCTGGGTGGCTTCGGGCAACACCTGGCAAGCTTCTCCGAGGGCTGGGGGCCTTCTGGGCCTTCTGAGAAGGCCCGCCCCCTCTGCCTCCCCCCGTGTGCGCGCCGCCGACCTGTGAGGACGTCAACCGGGGTAAAGTACCACGCGACCACTGCGCTGCTGGTGCCGAAGTGGCTGAGCGCGTGCAGGAAGTTCAGGGACCAGTAGAGCATGAAGGACAGGAAGATCAGCCCGCCGACCTGGGGCGGCAAAGTTCCACGAGGAAAAGGATCTGCAGGGCCAAACCGAGACCGACACCACACCGAGCCCGCGAGAGCCAGAGCAGTCGAGCGTGGACTGGGGCGGGACCGCACTCCGCTCTGGGGTGGTACCTCTTTGCCCGCTGAGGACACCCGCAAAGTGTGGCAGCCACTCCTTTCCTTCTGATCCAAATTGATCACGCTGGATCACTCCTACAATGACAGCTTCGAGAATAATGCATACGAAAGCACGTTCAGTCCCCTTTAGTGTCCGGGGCAACTGCCATGCTAAAAGATGTAGCGCGCTCGCGCACTCACATGCACACACACACACACACCATACGGCGCTGCGCAACATGGCAAACTCTCAAAGGGATTGGACACCCGTGGTTCACTCTGGCCCCCCTCCCCATGCCCACCCCGCAGCGCACAGACGCGCGCATCAACACAAGCGCACGTGGATCTCACATAAGCCGATGCATCACACCTCAGAGCATCAGCATTAGCACATTGGCATAGCAAAAAGCGTTTGACGTATGTCGGTGGCCCAAACAAAACATTACAACACCCGTGCGCAGACATGTCGAGCGCCAAGAACCACGTACTAATGAGTCTCACGTTGCAGAACATGGTTTGATAATGCAAGGCCAGCGTCCTGGGCAAACTCCCCCGCATGGGGCGTGGGCACCGCATGTAAAAACACACCACCAAGACCCTGAGTAGCAATTCCAACAAGTTGCGCCAGAGATGTCACGCAAGTTACCCCGCATGCCATCAGATAGCCCGTTGCCTCAGCAGTTGAGCCAAAGGTTGCGCCACAGTTTGCTCCAGGCACCACGCGGACAACCAAATGGTCCGTCGCCCAAGTAGATCTCCCATAGGTTGCACCAAGGATTGCGCCAGACACCTCGCGGGCAAATCGAATTTCTGGTGCCCCAATGGGTGCGCTAATAAAATGCGTCACAGGTTGAGCCAGACACCCCACCGGCGCCCTTGATCGTCGGTTGCCCCAGTGAATGTGCCTCAGGATGCGCCGTGGATTACGCCGTAGGCTTCGCCAGCGCCAGACCTCGCGCGGACAAAAAACTCGTCCGCTGCCCCAGTGGGTTGCGCCAGAGGTGAAGGCATCAGTCCCTCTCACCCCACCCAGCAGGGCAACCGAATCATCCATTGCCTCAGAGGGTGTGCCACAGGTTACGCCAGAGGGTGTGCCACAGGTTACATACGCCAGCCCGCGGGCAACCAAATAAGCCGTTGCCTCAGTGGGTACACCATAATGTACGCCAGACATTCCGCAGGCAACCAAGTCGTCCGTTGAATCACGTCTTCATAGAAATTGCGCCATTGACTGCGCCACAAATACACACACAAACATACGCACACGCAATCACGCACGCACGAATGCACACACACACACACTTTTTGCGTCGGCGGTTGGGCAGAGATAACCGCTCCGGCGGAATGGCAACAGGGCACACGCTGTATACAAATTAAGGCCGCAATACACGGAGGAGGAGGAGGAGGAGGCGGAGGAGGAGCCCCCGGAGCGACTGGGGGAGAGGAAGCCGGGCCACTCAGAGCTGCCGACTGCGGCGGGGGGATCGCCGAGGTGAAGACCAGCGCTGGCACTGAGCTGCACTGAACTGCACTGAGCTGAAGCTGGGGGGAGGCCCACTGTGCAGCAACTGGTGATGCAGAAATACAATTTAGCGGACCCCGACCCCGCCCAAGGCGCTGCCAAATGGGGCACACACACAAACGCCTGTCATGGCGGTCCTGGCGGTTGGGTGCTTTTAAGAGCAGTGTGCAGGATCTGTGTGTCTTTCTTGGGTGGCTGCACAGCGGGCCGTGCCCCACCCATGTACTTTCCCTCACCCACCGCTGCCTGCATTGTTTGCCTTGGCGCGCGACTTGGGCTGAGAAGGTGAGAAGATACGGCATCCCGCATTAGGCGGAGGAACGAACGAACGAACACACACACACACACACACACACACACACACGCGCACGCACGCACGCACGCACGCACGCACGCACGCACGCACGCACGCACGCACGCACACACACACACACACACACAAACACGCGCGCGCGCGACGGCGACCGCGTGCAAATACCCATACACACACATACACACACACACGCACACACACACACACACACCGCGGGCCACAGCATTGTCCGTTGTTCCAGTGGGTATAGCATAGGCTGCGCCATAGGCTTCGCCAGACATCGCGCAGGGAACCAAACCTTCCAGCGCCTGAGAGGGTATGCCTACTAATGTCGTAAAGAGAACGTGCAGCATTCACTGCTAAGGACTTCGAACGATTAGAACCAAACAATTGCAATGGGTAAGAAGATATTGCAGGGAACGATGTCGGACGTGAGTGTTCGTGGACCACTCCAAGCAGTACACGTCGCCGAGTTCGAGGCACTTCTTCATGTCCCCTTCTTCCGCTCCGATGGATGCCACTGGCGAGGCCGCACATTCATCAACAGACAACCAGGACAATCAAGGCTCAGCCTTACTTGGCACACGACATATTTACATCCAAATCGCATCAAACCTCAGTCTTCGATCAAGACACAAACATAGGAAATGACATGATATGCGAGCAGGGACTCGCAGCCTGAAGCCTAAACGGGGCCAGAAAGCGGCAGTGACGCTGTCTCCTGCGACCCAACAGTAAACTAGGCATAGCTTAATGCAGATGTAGGCATGCTACCCACCACAGGTTTGTGAGCACCCCGACACGCACATGCGTGTAAGCCCTTGCGCGGGTCACGCGGAAGGGAATACACACTGGACGAGTTCAACAATTGAAGAACGAATTGGCAAGAGAAATTGACTTCGCCAATACGCGCGCGCATGATGATACAAATATCCAGAACCGCGCTGCGCAGCGGCTGGCGATGCCCAGCCATCTCTAGCTCTTGCGAAAGAATAGCTCAAGCTCGGGAGCACCGAGCCCAACCTGCGTCCATGAGTGTCTTCTGTCTTCGACCAACCAATTCGGCAGCGAGCCGAAGGGGGAAATGAGAGGGGGCGAGCCTTGTCAGAAGGCGGAACAACATCTCAGAAACCCTCCGGCCTATTGAAAGGCCTTCCGTGGCTCCGGAGAAGACTCAGGAAGCTTCCCAAAGCCAACTGAGAAGGCCCACCCCCTCGGCCTTCCACCTGGGCGCCCCGCCGAAATATGCCAAAACCAACATGCCTTGACAACACAGTCCCAGACCCCCGCAGTCAGCCCGCACCCCCCCAACCGGCCCATCCGCCCAGCCCTCCCCAGGTTCCCACCAACGCCCCCAGTCCACAACGCGGCAGCAGATCGCAAAGAAAGAGCAACGGGACAGCGCTCTTCTTGTTCATTGGAGCCTCCGCGCAGCGCGTGCACGCTCGAACGCAGCACTGCCGAAAGGTTGCGCTCCTCCGACGAAGATCACTAGCCAGCCAACGAAGACAACGAACTGCGCCACGCCGACAAGCACAGGCTGCAGCATCTGCGACGGCACATCCTTCAGGAACTGGGAAGTGGCCTGGGACGCCGAGAACCGCGGCCAGGACAGCCAGAGAAGAGGCAATGCATTGCACAGCATGCAAGATAGCCGAAAAAACGGTGCGAGAGGCATGAGGGCTACGAAGTAATCAAGTACAAGGGCAACAAGATAACAGGGTACGAACGTGAAGGCATATACGAAAACGGCACTGTTCCCCGCACTCGTCCGCCTCATCGGTTTCGTTATCCTCTCTGTCACCTCCCCTTCTCGGACACTCGTTACTCGCGCAGGCACAAACGGAAGAGGGGGAAGCAGTGAGGAGTAAGCGAGGAAGAAGGGATGGATGAGAGAAGGGACGCGAGAGAAGGGATAGAAGAGGAACGGACGCCGAAAAGACCAAAATGATACCGAAATCAAGTTACGCGAAACATCCTTGCTCCTGGGGGGTCTCTTGGGAGGCTCTTGGGGCCTCAAAGAGGGTTTTGGGGACATGTTCGGAGCCGTACCCGCCAGGATGATTACCAGAGGCACTTGTTCGCTCCATCTTGGGGATCTCCCGGCGCCCTCTTAGAGTCTCTTGGGGACCCTCTTGGGCCGTCTTGGCACCCTCCTGGGCCGTCCTAGAGCTATCTTGGGGCCGTCTTCGGCGGTCTCGTCGAAAAAGCGAGAACGCTACAATGATTCAGAAACCCTCAGAAAATCATGCTGGCCAGCGTGGGCCCCAGAAAGCAATCAATGTTGCTCTGTGGATGTGTAAGCAGGGTGGATGCCGAATAAAGTTGTGGATGCCATGACAATGGACACTCTAACAATCTCATCGTTGAAATTAAGCATGGTTAAACATCTGGAAATGATTTGGCAACATGCTTCCTCTCCATTGATCGTCCTCCACAATAATAAAGGGGTGCGACACCCACGTGCGAGCCGTGACGCTGGGGCCACGAAGCGTGCGAGGGGCGTGCCGAAACGGAGTCATGCGGAGGGCAGAGGCAAGGATGGGAGGAGGTTAGGAGGCAACTACTGGGAGGTTTTCGTCGGAAGGATTAAAGAGGATTAAGCCTCATTGGGGGGCTGTTACGCCAATGTGGGCCTCGGATCAAGCGGGATCAAGCCGGATTAAGCGGGAGTAAGCGGGATTCAGTCGGATTAAGCGGGATTCAGCGGGATTAAGCCGGATTAGCGGGATTTCGAACCAGTGCTACATCAGAATTTGACCTCCCAGGAGTTGCATCCGAAGGGAGGGGAGGAGAGCAGGAGACAACGCGGGGCGCGGTCTCTTGAAAACGAAGACCCAACACCACAAGATGGATGTAAAAAACAAGTAGGCGGAGCGCAGAGAGGATAGTCGGAAGCGAAGGCAAACTCGAGGGTGCAAATCCTGGTGAACGTGACGGTGAGGATGAGGGTGAGGTTGCGAATGAAGGTGAGCAACCGTGAAAACAAAACGAAGATGCCGGCAAGGGTGACGGTATCCCGTGAGCGACAGAAAAGACGGCGAACGTCGACGGTGAAGGTGATGTTGAAAGGGGGGCAAATCAAAGAGGAGGGGGGGCGGGAAGGGGGGGGCGTGCGGGTGAGTATGTGGGCAGAAGATGATGAAGGAGAGTTCGCGGGTGTGGGTGAGGGAGGAAAGTAGGACCAAGGGCAGGGGGTCGAGGAGGACGAAAGGGGAATGAGGATGAGGCAAATGATAGCCCCTGTGTCTGCACACTCGCAGCTAGATTTGCAAGGAACACCAAGTGTGAGCGCAAGGAAGGACGTTGCAGGACCTGGGACAGCTCCGAAACCAAAGTGGCCCTTCCTCCAAAAGATTCACTGCATTGGCGATAACCGTGGCACGGCGGCGCCAGGTGCCGCCGGGGGAGCGCCGCGTCGGAAGACGCACGAGTCGAGGGGGGAGCTGCTGAAGACTCGGGGCCCCGCGGACGGCTCTGGATTCGGGTCGAATCCCTCGAGTACCGTGCCACGGCCGAGGGAATCAGCACACGAACGACTTGGTGCCCAAGTACCAAGTAAGACGTGAATGCAACTCGTTCTGCATTCGCGTCGCTCTGCATGTCTTCAAGCATCGACATCACTTCACCAAGCTGTGAACCATGCCATCACACATTGCTTCCTGACGCGACCTGTGATGAATGCTGGATTGTTGTGGTCCCCAGCTTCGCCCGCATCACGGCAACCACGTTCTTGATCGCGCTAACGAAACAGCACATGATCAGAAGCATAGCGCCTCACGCAGAGCGGGTGACAGGGGCCTCAGCGGACTCAGCCAGCAAGGACGCTGCAGGTGAGAAGTGGATCCTGCAACGCAGGATCAAATCAAGAAGGGCGGAGAGCCTATGGACGAAAGGGCACCTGCACGAGCACTGCACGACGTGGAGTGGAGGGGTCAGGGACTAGGAATGAAAGGGGACCTGCACGGGGGGGTGGCGGCATTCGAACGCAGCCACTGGGGCCTTCGGTGGAGCTCCTTATGGGGACACGAAACATGTGAGGGGGTGCGCCACAGTGAGGAGGGTGGCGGCATGCGAACTTTGCCACCTTCGCTGGAGCTCCTTCTGGGGCCACGAAGCGTGTGAGGGGTGTGCCAAAGTGAAGGGGGTGGCGACATGCGAATGCAGCCACTGGGTCCTTAGGTGTAATTTCCCATGGGGCCACGCAGCGTGTGAGGATTGGGCCAAAGTGAGGGTAAGGGGGGGGAGGGCGGCATGGGAACGCAACCACTGAGGCCGCCTTAGGTGGAGCTCCGTATGGGGGCACGAAACGTGTGAAGGGAGTGTCAAAGTGAGGGGGTTGGCGGCATGCGAACGCAGCCACTGGGGCCTTAGGCGGAGTCCCCTATTGGCCATGAAACGTGTGAAGGGTGTGCCGAAGCTGAAGCCGAGGACGATGATGGCGATGATGACGGCGATACTGATGATGACGATGATGGTGCTGGTGAATACGATGATGACGGCCATGGTGATGATTATGATGACAGTAATGATGCAGGAGGATGGGAATGAAGAAGACGCGAATGGTGATGCGGCTACTGATGATGTTGATACTTATGATGATGACGATGATGATGATGATGATAATGATGATGATGATGATGATGGTGATGATGATGATGATGATGCTGATGATGATGATGATGATGGAAATGATGATGGTGATGATGATGGTGACACTGATGATGATGGTGGCGCTGATGATGATGATGATGATGATGATGATGGTGATGATGGTGATGATGATGATGATGATGATGATGATGATGATGATGATGATGATGATGATGGTGGTGATGGTGATGGTTATAGTGATGGCGATGGTAATGATGAGGACATGCGAAAGATAGAGGCAGGTTGTTGAGAATGATGATGGTGACGATGAGAGCATGCAGGGGACAGAGGCAAAGGCGGGAGGAGGGAGGAGGGAGGAGAAGGAGGAGGAGAGGGAGGAGGAGGAGGGGGAGGAGAGGAACGCGTGGCGTGTCTCTTCAAAACGAGGGCCCCACTTCATAGGATAGTTGGGAACAATTGCGTTTGACTGCTGAGGCCCTTTCGAAGAAACCATTAAAACGCTTTGGTTTGGGGCTCGGCTGAGACTTGCCCCAGACGCCTCAAGATGGCACAAGATGGCCCAAAATGTGTCAACATAGACCCGAGCGTTCCTCAAGAGGCCCCCAGACGGCCACAAGTGGTCTCAACCTTCCGAGGATGCCACCTGAGAAGCGAGAATCTCTCAAAAACTGCAAACGATGTCAAGATTGATTGTCTTCTCGCCGTTTCGCTCCCGATGAATCTCGAGGCCTCAAGATGGGCCCAAGATCGCCCGAGAGAGCACCAAGATAGGCCAACACGCGTTCCAAGATGGCCCAAAGAGCGCCGAAGAACACCCAGAGAGCGCCCCCAGAGAGCTTCAAGAGAGCTCCACAAGGCATTGATATGGGCTCCGATCCTTGGGCTGATTGAGGACCCCCCAATCTGGAATCTAATCCCTACAAGACATCCCCAATAGACCCGGAAAACCTCTAAAAAGTACCAAGAGGGCCCCCGGAAGCTCCCAAAATTGCTCCAGGATTCATGGAGGATCCGAAGATAGCTCCGACAGGACTCCAAACGGCTCTTTGAGCGAAAGATGTGCCAAGGTCATTCTGGTTGACTCGCCTTCTCCAGTTATCCTCCTCCCCCTCCTCCTCCTCCTCCTCAACCTCCCCCTCCTCCTCCTCCTACTCCGCTCGTCCTCCTCCTACTCCGCTCTTCCTCCCCATCGTGCTCCAACCCTTTCAGTCACCTCTTTATCTCATGATCATCCTCTTCCCCATCCTCTGGTTCCTTTTTTCTGCGCCTCCCATCTCAGGTAACCTGGACTTGAGTGGCAATGTGTTCTGTCAATCGCCTCTTCCTTCTGCTCACCCGTTCTACGCCTTTTCTTCCGCCTCTTCCTCATCCTCATCCTCCTCCTCCTCCTCCTCCTCCTCCTCCTCCTCCTCCTCATTCTCATCGTTCCTCCTCCATCATCCTCTTCCGCTTCCTGGTTGTTATCCTCCTCATTTTCTTCTCCTCATTCGAAAGGTAATGTCTGTCTCCCCCTCTTTATTCCGCTGCATGTTACTGAACTTGTTCAACAGCCACAGATCTTTAGATTCCCCTGATAATTGACAACAAAAAGTCCGTTCGGAAACCTTCAACCTGATTGACGGACTGGGGCCCCACCAATAGTGGAAAGGAGTTGTTTCATCCTCCTACTCCTCCTCCTCCTTCTCCTCCTCCTCCTCCTCCTCCTCCTCGTCCTCCTCCTCCTCCCCGTCCACATATTCCTCTTCCTCCTACTCTTCCTCTTCCTCCTCCTCCTCCTCCTCCTCCTTTTCCTCCTCCTCCTCCTCCCCCTCTTCCCCCTCCTCCTCCTCCTCCGCCTCCTCCTCCGCCTCCGCCTCCGCCTCCGCCTACTCCTCCTCCTCCTCATCCTCCTTGGGAATGAAACGAGGAGCAGGAGGACGAGAGGAGAACCAGGAGGAGGAGGAGGAGGAGGACGACAGGAGGAGGAGGAGGAAGTCGAGGAGAGGAGGAGGAGGAGGAGGAGGAGGAGGAAGAGGAGGAGAAGGAGAGAAGGAGCAGCAGCAGCAGCAGCAGCAGCAGCAGCAGGAGGACCATGAGCAGGAGAAAAAGGAGGGGCGAATTTCTTTCCCGCCGAGAGAAATGGGGGGGACTAAAACTCAAGACCTCCTGCATTTAATCAGGGCGACTCGCAACTAGCAACTCGCAACGGTATCGTTCTGGAAGGGATGGTTGCGATACGGAAGGCGTCAATAACTGCTCACAGATCAGGATGTGAGCGCGCCCCTGTCTGCCCCAGCCCATGTTTTCAAACTGCAAGCCTACAAGCAAAATGCCTTATGTTGGGACATGCGGAAGATCAAAAGGATCTGGGGATCGGTTGAATGAGGCAAATAGGGTTGGTCAGGCACCTCGGCAGAACAGCTAGTCGCGAGCGACGAACATGTACACATCCATGCCCTCGCGGCCTGAATACCGAAGCACGTTCCAAAAAATACGCGAACCCATCCGCGCAAAGCTGCCCTGTATCCACGGGGTCACATCCCAGGAGACCAATCCACGAGGCCGTGGACATGGACATGCTTCCTGCCCACGAGAAGGGGCAACCAATCGAAATCAACCGACCCATTTAGCCGAGAACGGCGTGGCCGAAAAACGAACACCGAAAAACGAGGGGTGCCCTGACCGGCACGCCCCGCGCACCGGCCCGGCGGCGCCCGACAGCGCCCACAGGGTGTACGCGGCCAGCTTCAAGTTGGACGGGCTGACCTTGCTGAGCCCCGGCATGCTGGCGCCGCCCCTGGAGTCGGCCTCGGCAGAGGGCTCTGAGGGCGGCTACGCTGCACGCAAGAGTGACCCCAGGCAAAAGTGGCCCCTACTGTGCGGCTCAAGGAAAGCGCGGGGTGGCCAAACCCAGGCGCGCAAGCCGCAGCTACGGCCTCGCGTTTAGCGGTCGGGTGACCCCATCGAGCCCGCACCAAAGATCACTCCGGAGACAGGTCACTCTCACGCGTAGTCGACGCAGGGGGGTGGGGGGGCGGATGACATCGCTGGGGGACAGAGCCGCCTGACGACCTGAAGCTGAAGGTGGGGATCGGGGGCGCTGGCCACCTGTCGGAAGGCCATTTTGGCTCCCGAAGAGGTCGGAATCGGGGTCGGGCCCCTCCATGTGCGTCCACCAAAGACCGACTCGCACTTCTCACCGTCATCGAAAACGACGAGGCCGCTTCCTCCTCCTCCTCCTCCTCCTCCTCCTCCTCCTCCATCGGCACACGACTCACGCCTCCGCTCGTCCCGGCCGCCCAGCCCCCGAAGGATTCGCGCGGGCGTGGCGGGCACGGTCACCTCGGGAAGGGGCCCACGCACTCGCCGCCCCCACCAGGAGTCCCAGAGGCGGAGAGGGGAGGTCAGAGGTTGCGAGAGGTTTCGGACTCTTGGAAATTGACACCAACACCAACACAGGGCTTTGCCTCCACGAGGGGAAGATGATCCTAGAGTTCGGTGTTGGTGGTAATCTTTCGGCCGCCGGGGGAGCAGGATATTACCACGATCGCCGAGATTGGAATACTCTTCCCTCGGCGGAGGCTCAACGCCGATATTGGTGTTGATGTCAACCTCTACGCCTCCGAAGGTTGAGCCCGAAACCTGGCGGGAGGGAGGGGGGAGCTGGGGCGGAAGGAACAGGCCGAACAGTCCTTGGAAACCACGGGGGGCGAAGTCCGCCAGTCGCCGTCTGAGGCCCATTCACCATCCCCGTCAGCACGTCGTCTGCAGCGAATCTGATAAGCAGATCGCAGATCGTACCGCTGGCGGCTCGCCCCACTCGACGCATCCGGCAGCCATGCACCACCACGAATTCCCAACCAGGCCCATCCCTGGGCCCCGGCATTCTGTATCCGCCTTCCTGGTCGGGGCCAGGAGGGTCCACCACACCATCTCAGCGCCCCGAGAAGGAGGAGGAAAAGCGGGAGGACAGCCGAGCGAGACGACCGCCGCGAGCGTGTTGGCCGACAGGGCTAACGCCGCAGTGCTGACCTCGGCAAGGGCACAACCCACAACCCACAAATTACGGCAGAGTCCCAACCACTTTCGGGGGAGGTGGCTCGGAGTGCCTGCCAGGAGACAGGGCACCAACAGCGTCGAGGCGCAAGCTCCCAGGGCGTGGGCTCAGCAGGCTCGCCTCGCGCATCTTCGCGCAGGGCTTGGGAACGTTCCCCACTTCGATTTCCCTTCCTTCGCCAACCACCCTTTGTTCAGCTGGAGCGTCGCAACAGGAGCAGCAGCAACAGGAGCAGCTGTTTCAAGACACGCAAAATGCGGTCCAGCACTGCACTCGATAATGGGCCAAAGATCTTCTCACCCGGGACAATCCAGACCCGGGTCAGTCAGGCCTCAAGATCCTGCAAGATCCTGCGCCCAAACAAGGGTCAATGCGACCCTGGCCCTGCAGGATCCTGCAAGATCGGGCGCTCTGGCTGGCCCCCGTTTGCGCTGACCCCCGCCTCAAGGCTGCCGAATGGGGAGGGGAGGGCCTCCCCGCCCCAACGCTCGGTGGAACCCCCCTGGGCGGCCCCCCGGCCAACGTTCTGGGAACCTGGCGCCTGCCTGCAGGCGAGGGCGCCCGTCGTCTGTCTGGGGGACGCCCGCCGGGGGGGGGGGGTCCCCGCTCAGGGGGGGGGCCTTCCTCTCTGGCGAGCGGACCACTGCCGCCGCCGCCACATTCCCTCCTCCTTCTTCCTTCGAGCTCGTGGTCGGTCTCCTGCCCCTCCTCTCGCCACCATCTGCTGTCTTTCCCCCCGTTTCCTGTCCACCTCCAGCCGGCGACTCCTGGAGCGGACGCTCCGAACACTCCAGGAGTCGCCTGGCTCTTACAGCCCTCTGGGCGCAGGTGGTCTAACCATGTCTTTCTTTACCTTCAAGAACCCCGTTTTCCCCTTCGGGGGGGAGTTATCGTTGTTCCCTGTCAGCAAACACCCCCTCCACCACCCGGCCGGCAGCCAACCCGGAACCATGCGCACACCATGATGCCCCCCCAACCATCCCTGTCAAAAAACAATACAAAACACACTCTGCCTCCAGATTTGGGGCCAGGAGCTCAAAGCTCCTTGGCCTCAGCAACACCACGACCGAGCCGCGGTCAGAGCAGACCAAAGCCCGCCCCCTGTGCTCGGAGACGGCTGCGCAAAAACGGGTGCGCCTCGCGCCTTCCCCCTGAAGCGGGGTGCCTGACACGCGTGCAGAACGGAGACGCGCGCGCACACGAGACGCAGCACCTGCGCACACCAGACGAGGCACGCGTGTTGGGGCCTGCTGCTCGTAGCAGCCAGGCCTCAGCAACACCACGACACGAGCCACGGCCAGGGCGGACCAACTCCCACCCCCGCGCTCGAGAAAGAGCTGTGCCCACACAATAACGTGCCATGCGCCTTCCGCCTGAGGCGGGGTGCCTGACACGCGTGCCGAGTGCAAACGAGCGCGCACACAAGACGGCAGCACGCTGCAGACATGAAACAAACGACCGCCCACACAAGGACGACGAGTCCTGCCATCCCAGGTGCAGAGAGCGCCAGGACGACAGCAGGTCTCGCCCCAGATGTGGGGTATGCACACGGTATCCACCTACCAGGAGAATAGCAGTGGCCTGAGGCCAAGGAATGAAAACAAGCATAAAAATCGACCACCCACACAAGGACGACGAGGCCAGCTGTCCCTGGTGAAGAGAGCGCCAGGACGACAGCTGACCTCGCCCCAGCTGTGGGGTATTGCACGGATGCCTGCCAAAAGGGTCAGTCGCATCGGGCCGTGCGTTAGAAAGACAAATAAAGAGAAAGTGCGCCTGCCGCCTGCGGGAAAAGGACGCGAGGAGGACGGGGGCAGGACGGGAGAAAGACGGGAGGAGCAAAATCAAGCAAGCGCAAGCAAGCAAGCGGAAGCAAGCAAGCGCAAGCGACCAATAACAAGCAAACAAGAGCCACCAAATCAAGTGCAAGCAAGCAAGAGAAAGCAAGAGCAAGCAAGCGATAGCAAGCACGCAAATGCAAGCAAGCCAGAGCACGCAAGAGCAAGCAAGGGCAAGCGACTCGCAGGAATCCACTGGGCTCGCCATTGGAAATAGCTGGGGGGCATTGGAAATAGGGGGGGGCCATTGGCAGAAGGTGGGGGTGGAGGGGGGTGCCATTGGAAAAAGGAGAATGCACACTACACTTTGGGGCAAAGTCTGGAGTCATATTCGCGAGGCTGGCGGGCAGTGTATATTGTTGTTCGACAGGGGCGGCGGGGGTGCCAGCATAGCGCCTGCTGCGCGCAGGGCTACCATCTCTGACAAACACACAATACAAAATGCACCTCGCGGCTATATGTGGATAGTGGGCGGCCACCCCGCGATCATTGTCAAGTGGATTTTGTCAGGGACGGCGCGGGCGGTGGCGCATGGCCTGCTGTGCGCAGGCCCACCAGACACAATGATGGGCATTGTTTGTCGACAGGGATGGTGGGGGCCGACGTGTTTCCCGATGTGCTGTCTGCGCAGTCGCACATGACACACTCTGCACGTGTGTATGGGGTTGAAGTACAAGAGTACAGAACCCCTGATCCGTTGGTAGAGAGATGGAGGGATAAATGGATATCTTTCCCTCCCAAGCGATCAAGGCACGATCGCTCCAACTCAGTACCTGAGCCCAAACGGCCAGGTGCGGGAGAGGTAAGGATAAGGAGTATATATGAGGGTATTACACGGGTTCCTTCCACACCCCCCGCCCCGAATCCCGCCCGTGAAGGCAGGGCGCGGGAACAGCGGATAGGAATCCGTAACCTCTGAACTCCTTTAGTCCTTAAGTCAGAAAGGCAGCTGAGGCTTAAAAACAGCGAAGCCACAGCTGCAAAGTGAGGTAAGAAGAGATACCCTAAGTCTCCCTTTCATCCCCAGGCGCACTTTGGCGCCCCCTCGGTGCGCCCCCCCCCAAAACGCTTCGGCACCCGAGGGAGGGGGAGAATGAGACAAGGGTAGGCGGAGAAAGTAGATCTGAGCATCAAGGCAACATGCAATCTGCCTCGCAAGATTTGCGAGGCAGGTGTTGCCACCAGCAAGCAGATTATTCTCGACGCAATATGGTTCAAATTGGTAAAATATGCATGCGAAGAGCGTGTTGACGAACACGATTCTGAAAAGAAACGCAAATCTGTGTAAAGCAAGTGTCTGGCCAGACAACATGTCGTGTTGATGAACGCGAAAAGAGATGTATAAAATCTGTTTGGCGACTCCCGTTGGCGTTGCTCCTTAGGAGGCTGCCTCGGTGATCGCAACAGATATCTATATGTGTGTATGGCCACTTGTGTGAATGACTGAAGTGGCCTAAAAGAATGCATTAGCCACCGCTCAAGGCGAACTTTGATGAAAGGAAGTTCTGCGCTTGAGCAGTGGGCCTTGCGGCCGACTCACTACGCGTCGCCGTCCTTGTAAAACCTGCGGTCCCACACCCTCTGGCCGTTGTACGTCACGTAGCTTGTCGTAAACGTTTCCCAAGTTGTCCTCGGGATCCAGTTGCGGAACCAATCGTTGTACGTGATATCCTGGATGTACACATACTCGTCGTTGTTGATCGCAATGTAGATCCAACATTTGATGTAGTAACTCCAGCATCGAAGACCCCAATCGCTGTCCTCGAGGTTGCGGCGCCAGTAAGCAGCGTAATCAGATGTACGTGCTCTCTTGGCGCGCGGCATCGCGGGCATGTAGTCCTCCGCGCCTGAGGCGCTGGATGCAGCGGCGTCGCCAGGAGCAGGGCGCGGCGGCGGGCGCGGCGGCGGCCGCG